AGACTGTGGGGGCAATATGCTGACTCTGTAAACCGCTTAGAGAGGGCTGAAAGCCCTATGAAGCGGTATATAAGTCTAACTGCTATTGCTATTCTGCTTGGGAGTCAATGACCCCTATGGCTCCCTTTAGATCAACGTTTCTCAACCTCAGAAGGTTGACGATGAGTGGACTTCAACTCCTAGAATTCCCCAGCTGGCATGGCCGGCTGTGGAATTCTGGGAGTTGAAGTCCACCCAACTTAGATATGCCAAGGTTGGGAAACACTGCTATGGAGCCAAACCAATGGGAAATGAGGGAGTTGAGGACCAGAAATCTGGAGACCCACCAGGATTGTTTCTGTGATGATACCCCTTGGACCTTGGGACGAAGAGTTGATGCAATTACCTCGCAGCTAAACATCTCCAGGAGTGTCTTCTTGTAATGGTTGAGGTTCTCCGTTCCAAGGTTGGTAACCGTTAAGGTTCCATAGCCGATCTGGAAGTCTTTCTCCAGGGGCCAATATTGACCACACTTCCTTTTGCCTCCTTCTTCAATCCTTTCATGGAAAGAAGGAAAGGAGAATATGGAATGGGTGCATATCCGGAAGGGGTCAGCTTGGAGCCCAATGGAAGCATGAGGAGACATCATTTGAAGGAACCACAGTTGGCGCCCAGTTAGCATAAGACGTCAAGTCCAAAACCAGAAGAGCTTTGGCTTTGGCTCGACGTCTCAAGTCAAGAGCGTTTTCGGAAGAGCATCAGTGCAAATGGGGACAGCCACCCTCTCTCCTAAAACCCATCAAGGTCATGCTTACTTTTTGTCCTATGCACAGATATGTTAAGTGTTCTGACCGAGGCTTCCCGAGAGCATGAAGCCAACTCCTTGTCCTGACAAAAAACCCTTTTATTAATTGACTGTGATTAATTTTGCTCCTTCAACTTCCAGCAAAGTCTTTCGAGAGAGGATTTAAAGTCACAGACTTCATCCGGCTTGGAGAGCTGCCAGGCCGAGATCTGCAGAACTTGGCAAGGAGTTCTCGGAGAGTCACGAACCAATTAAGCAAATTAATTGTCTCCTGCAAACTCCACTCCCCTTTCGCTCCTCTTTTATTTCCTCTGGGAGGGGCCATTCATTGTCCACCTGTGGCCTTACTCCCAAGTCAACCGCTGTTCTTTAGCTGTTCCCTTCGTGTGGCAACTCTGCACACGCGCATACTGGGAACAGGCTCCAGCTGTTCATCTGCCTCACTGATGCCTGACTCCGAAGGAATCTGATAGGTGGCATATGGCGGCTCTGGCCCCCTCTCTGCCTCCA